ACAGACTTGGTCTCAAACCTTAGCTCTGCCACTCTCTGGCTTTATTCCCTTGGGCCATTTACTCTCTGTGGGCCTCCGTGCCTTCACTTGTAAATAGGTATGATAGTGACCTCTCATATTGTTAAGATTAAATGAGATCATATAGGTAATGCTCCTCATGGTGCCTGGCCAGTGGTAGCTGTTGCTTGGCACTGGATTTTTAATGACAGGATATGCGTCGGGTTGAACATCAGACTGTGTTTGCCTTATGGTTGGTGTGATTCCAAAGCTGCGTGAAGAGGCAGAAAGAACAGTGCTCTAGAAGACGAATCCTGGGAACAAGGGGTGTGTATGTGTGTGCGTGTGTGTATTTTCTGTTCTCAACCCTACCATTGTGGTACATCCCAGTTTCATGCACCACACTCAGCTGGAGGAATCCGAGACAGACGAGCTGCCGGGAGCACTTCTGTCTGTGCAGGCTGCCTGGGGGCTGAGAGGCAGGAGCAGCCTTGAGGGGTGGCACTGCTTTGGGTTAGAGCCACAGGGCTTCCCTGGTGGGAGTGGTCATTTGGAGCGTAGGTGATGGGGCTGCCTGCCTGCCTACAGAGTCTTCTCTCGGCCTTTTCCCAACTGTTTTGCTTCTCTGTGCCCCAGCTTCCTCACTGTACCAGTTTGGTAGGGCTGCCCTAACAAAGTGCCAAAGACGGGGTGGCTTAAACAACAGAAATGTATTTTCTGACAGTTTGGCAGTGTTAGAAGTCCAATATCCAGGTATTGACAGGTAGGAGTCTTCTGAGGCTTTCCTCCTTGGCTTCCAGGTGGCTGACTTCTCCCCATGTCTTCACATGGTCTGATCTTCTCTTGGGTGTCTAAATATCCTCTATTTATAAGGACACACGTCATACTGGGTTGGGCCCACCCACATGACCTCATTTAACTTAATTACCTCTTTAGATTTCAAATACAATGACATTCTGAGGTATTGGGGGTTACAACTTCAACATACGAAGTTTGGAGGGATACAATTTATCCCATAACACTCACCTATAAAATGGGGACAATAAATTGTTCCTGTCTCACAGGGCTCCGGTGAGGATTAAGAGTGTCAATAACAATAAAGTACTTAGAATGTTGCTGGCTCACAAGTGCTCATAAGTGTTAGCCATTATTGTTAATCTTATCACTCAGCATTGCAAAGTGAGGTCCTTTGCTGGCTCCTGGGGAGGAGGTGGGAGAGGCAGGTCCAGACCACGGGAAGCTGACCCAGTCCTGCCACTGACCAGCTTTGTGGCCCCAGCCATTTTCCCTTTTGGGGAAATAAGGGTGTTGGGCCAGGAGCAGGGAGTTCAGATGGAAGTGAGCCTCAAGGGTCTAAATGGCCCAGGGGAGGCGTGCACAGACCTGTGGAGCTTGCCAGCCTCACGCTGCCCCTCTGACTAATGTTGGATTTTCTTCATTCTAAGACAATTTCAAGACCCAAGTTTATGTTCTACCACATAAGAATAAATGCTATCAATTATAATTGTAAGATACTCTCAATGTTAAGTCTCATCCTGTTTTCAGAGATGCTAGAATTTGAAAAATATATGCCTCAGAAGTGATGAAAGAGAGTATGTCCTGTTTCTTTGTTTTGGGCAACAAATAACTCCTAAAGGGGAGCAGGCAAGGCCATTTGGCCTTTGGCCTCAGATTTTGGCCATTGTTTAGTGTTGGGAAAGTAGGATGATGGGGCATCATCCCAGTGGGGACTCATCACTTGCAAAACTACCTCAACTCATGGCTGGGAAACAGATTTAAAAAGGTGCTTTGAACACTTGGACTTTTGGTGGGCCTCATAAAATGGGCTCAGATTTGGAGCCCAATGGACCCGTGCTCTGGTTCCAAGGTTCTGGCTGCTACTCCCCAACCAAGAGGTTGAAAGAAGAAAGGCTTCAACCTGTGCAGAGGGCTTTGCCAAACGTGGCACTCACAGGACAGTGTATGGGCGAGAGAGCTGGGAGCCTAGGGTTCTGGGGTTCTCCCTGGCTGTGCAACTGAGACAGGTCCCTCCATCACTCTGGACCTGTTTCCCCATGGGTAAAGCAGTGTAGTTCAGCCATTCCTTCCACAAACATGAACTGAGGCACTCTCTTTGGAGGCAGGGTGCTGAAGGCCAGGGACGTAGAGGCATGAGAGGTGGTCCCTGCTGTAGGAGAGAGCTCTGTTTGGTGTGGAGAGCCAGGAGTACAGAGAGCAAAGAGGTGGATGCCAGGTGCTCTCCACACATTTTCTCACCTAATCCTTCTAGTCACTCCATGAGGTGTAGGTAATGCATGTATTTTTATCCCCACTTCATATAATAGATGAAGTCATTGAGACTGAGAGAGATGGTGGTGCTTGCCAAGGTCACATGGCGGAGCCAGGATTTGGACTTGTCTGCTTACAACAAAGCCAGTTCCTTTCCTCTTTACCTTTGATGTTCAGTTATGAGTTTCCTTCTAGCACAACACTCTCAGGTTCTATGCCAAAGAATAGCCAAGAAGTGTCATACTCTGACAGTCCTCTCTCTTAGCAGCCAAGTAAGGGAGCTCTTCCCTCTGCTCAGGAATGACGATGGAGTCGTCTAAACCGTCTCCTCTTCTAAGGAGGTGGGGGCACTACATTTCAGTGGAATGAGCTTCATAAAAAAGCTTCCCCACTCCACTCTGCCTGGTTGTTTTAGTTCCAGTAGCACTTAACAGACTCCATCATTTCACACTGAAAATAAAGTCCCAGGACAGCTCCATCACCAAGAATTATGCTCATAGGACAAGAGTCTGGGAAAAAACATGTGGGGCCAGTCCTGAGCCTGGTGCACCCATGACAGCCCCATCAAGGAATTTTCTAGTCTCTGCTCACAAGCTCCAGAGCCAGGAAGGTCGTTCTTCTATCCAGCGCTGGCATCTAGAAGACACTTCTAGTTGGTAGAGCTGCATTTTACCTTGCTGCATTTTGCCAAGGAAGCTTTCAGGCCCAGGATGAAGTGATTTGCTGGAGGTCACCTGGAACATCAGTGGAAAAGCCTGGGTCAGAGTCCTGGCACTTAGAAACCTGGTTCTGTCCTTGTCCTCACCGTTGAGTGGAAATACTCCTGAAAGACAAGGCAGAATGGGTTTTTTCCTTAGCTTGGCCACTCAACTTGACTTAAATGTCATAATTAGCCAAGAGCCTACTGTGTGCCAGGTGCTGTACTTATATGCACTGTGGCCACAGGCAAATCATTTCATCTCTCTGAACCTCAGTTTCCTCATCTATAAAAAAAGGCCCTTCTGACCTGCTTCTCTCAGAGCCTTGTTGTGAAGATTAAATGAGAAAAAGGAAGTGAAGTGCTTTGTGAATTGTAAAGTGGTGTACACATGGAGGAGCTGTTGCCAAAGCTGGCCCCCTCCACCTGGAGCAGACTTCCCTTAGCACTGCCCGTCACATGGGAATTTGTTTACCTGTCTCTCTCACCATACTTCCCGAGGAGAAAGGCATAGGGTTCATCTTTGATTTCCCAGATCCCAGCCCTGAGGTAGGTACTTTACACAGTATGTGAGTAAGCATGTGACGAGATCTGATTCTCAGACCTATGCAGATGCCAACGGGAAGGACACTGGCAGATCAGAGGAGGAAGGGCCCAGAGACAGGGTGGTGACTGTTGAGAAGGGTGTCCACTATAGATGGACAGGGCTTGGATCGCTGAGAGGAGAGGGGGAACACCCCAAGCAATGGGGGTGGCTTTGGCAAACGTCAGGAGATGGAAATCTATGTTGCTTATGCAAGGGACACTGAGGGAGTGGGCAAGTAAGCAGCAATAAAAGATGAGGACAGAAACCAAACGATTTCACTCATCTGTGGAGTATAACAACAGAGCAAAATGGAAGAAACAAAACAGCAGCAGACTCACAGACTCCAAGAAGGGACTAGCGGTTACCAAAGGGGAGGGGTGCAGGAGGGTGGGTGGGGAGGGAGGGAGAAAGGGATTAAGGGGCATTCTGATTAGCATACATCATGTAAGGGAGTCACGAAGAAGGCAGTACAGCACAGAGAAGACAAGTAGTGACTCTGGCGTCTTGCTACACTGATGGACAGTGACCACAATGGGGTGTGGGGGGACTTGATACTATGGGTGAATGTAGTTACCACAATGTTGCTCATGTGAAACCTTCATAAGATTGTATATCAATGATACCTAATAAGAAAAGAGATAAGGACAGAAAATAATAGTAATATGTAATATATTGAGTATAACACTGTACTCCAGGCACTGTTCAAAAGCTATAGATAAAGTCCTCATCAAACCCTTGTAACTACTCTCTGAGGTAGGTATTATTACCTCCACTTTACATACAAGGAAACAGAGAGAGGTTAAATAACTTGTCCAAGGTTACACAGCCCTAAGTGGCACAGTTGGGATTTGCTTCCAGGCAATATGACTCCAGAATCTGTGTTCCTAAAGTAGGTTGATGCCTGTTTGTAAATGGCTGGGAACTCTGGACTCTCCTTGTGCTATAGGAAAAAATTCGAGCAAAACTTTTGAGCAAGAAGGAGTTTGAGCAAGAGAGGACATCATGGGGGTAAAAATGCAGCAAGGTCTCTCAAACATACATTGAGCATCTTCTGTGTGCTAGTTACTGGTGATACAAAGAGCAGGACAGAGCCGCTACCCCAACAAACACGTAGCTCAGTGGGAGACAGGGAGCTGGGCTGGAGCAAGCTCTCTCTGGCTCTCCAGGACCTGTAGTGTGCCTCTCTTCCCCGATGATCGGTGGCCTCACGTCGATGACTTGAAATTGACTACAATGCAAGTATTTACACCATGGAAATTGGCCAACACTACGAAATAAGGCTTTTCCCTGAGAGCTGGTTGTTAAATATTTACCAGCATAACACCACCTATGAATAGCTGCAGTATGATGACAAAAAATCCTCTTCAGATGTAGGGCTGCACAAAGGGGGTTGGGACTAACTCTCCTCGGTGAGCCAAGGAGGCAAGGCTTATGCAGAATGTTGCAGGCTGAGCAGATGTTGGCTACAAAGTAGTAAAGGGCAGCTCAGGCAGAGGTCTGGAATGGTATGGCACATTCATTCAAGGTTTCCATGAACTGTGGATGTGAAGGAGCTTGGTAACCCATGAGGTGCCAGACAAAAGGGTGTTTATTAAGCAAATCCAATATTAGATTTATAAAGTGAACTAACTGGGGTTGGGGAGGGGGTACCCATGTTACAACACATCAACCTTTGTCTTTAGCTGGCAGGATGTCAAAAGATTTTCATGTGACTCAATTGGGCTTTTAATCAACACCTCAGTAAAAGGGAGCCCCTGACATAAGAATGGGCTAGAACACTCTAGAGCCGAGCTAACTGGGAAATGTTGACAAAGGCTTTGAAATGTCCTGTAGATTGGGGTGGGCGGGCCAGGGGAGTTGGTGTGAAATGGGACCTGGAAACAGGGCAGTGAAGGTCAGAGACATCTCATTAGGCACATACTTCCTACCCAGAAGCCAGAGGTAGACAGTGGCCCCACAGGTCTGGTTTTGTTGTCCTTTGTGTTCGATAGGCCCCCTTGGTCTCTCTGCCCCAGACTGGGGTGAGCATGTCATTAGGCTGTCTCCATGGCTCTCTGCATGGTGCTACACTGTCCTAAAAGTTCTGAAGGAGACCGAGGTCACTGGGCTGTCTGGGCAGACAGCTGCCACACCCAGGACCCCATGGAGCCTGTAAACAAGCCTGGGCCCCTCCCCTTGATGGGCTGGATATCAGGGTTGTTCTGCTCTGTGAGATGATCATGGGGCTGCATTTCCCTGCCAAGAGCCCCCATCAGCCTTGAGACCCCCAGGATACAGGCAGACTCAGGCAGTCAGCATGGAGAGATCAAAGTTTAGGAAAGGGATGGGCTGAGCAGAGAAATTTAGGCTGAGCTCGGCCAGGCCCCCATTCACAGTAGCCTGTTTAGGAGTAATTTGTAAGTAGAAGCTGGAAGTTTGGGGTGAACAAAGGATAGTTACAAAAGAACTGTTTTAGGCCACACAGCTATTTACAAAGCAGTGACCACATTCTATCCCACCGGGCTGTGCTGGGCATTGTGTTGGGGGTGGCGGTGGGCAAGCACACCCACCTCTGCACAGGTAGCTCTGGCCCACTAGCAGAACAGAGCTCACAAGACTTGTCTTCATGAAAGGGCAAAGAGCTGAGGGCATGAGGTCATAGAGAGCAGTACCTGAGGGTAGTGGCCAGTGCTGGCCTTTGAGCATGCAGGGTACCTGTCTGGTGGCAGGACTCATGAAATGTTCATACCAAGGTGCCTTAGGGTTCTCTAGAGCATCCTTTCTGACCATCCCTCTGCATGCCTAGAACCACACTTAGGGCAGGAACAGAGCTCATGTGTGCCTGGAATTGTCCGTCAGTTGGGAAAAAGTTCTTGGCTGTGCAAAAGGCTAAATAAGTCCAGTTGAGCTCATTGATCACTGCTGGGTCTTGTTCAGTGAGGGGCTTATGACAAGAAGCACATCCCTGCCTCCCAGTCCACACTCACTCTGACTCCTGTGCCCTGCAATGCTCAGTGTTCTGTCTCAGTTTTGCTTCACCCAAGTAAGGGGCTGCATGGTGATATGCTGACTGCCCCACCTGTCCCTCCCCTTGCACTGTGGCTCTGCGAGAATGCACCTTTCCTTCAGTCACCCCCCGCACCCCCAAGCCCTGCATGCTCCCAGGCCTCTGCTTGCCAGCACCCACAGTGTCCTCCTTAGCTCTGTCATGATCAAGCCTACCCTCCAAGGGCCAGCTCCACCACCCATTAAGCCCTTTCTGAGAACTGAGCTTGCTTTCCCCAAGTTCCCGGGCTTTTCCAGACTGAACCTTTGGGTGGCTCATCCCATCCTCAGGCTCACACACCACGTGCTCCAGAAGGGCTTGTTAAATTGGACTCTCATGGTGTCCCTCACACAACGCTCCACCATTATTACCTCCTGAAAGAGAAAACATTTACTGAGCTCCTATCTGCCAGGCCTAGCTAGGAATTTTCATATATACCAACTCATTTTAAGTCACATAACACTGGAGGATGGGGTTGTCATCTGGTGAGGAAACAAATCAGAGAGGTTCAGTGACTTGTCCAAGATTACACAGCAAGTGATAGAACCAGAATTCAAACCCAAGTCAGCCTGACTCCAAGACCAGGCTTTTTTCCTTATAAGCATATGTAAAATAGTAACAACCACTTATCGGTTATACTGCATTCTTGCATACATTATTTCATTTGATCCTCACAACAGCCCTGTGAGGTAGGTAGGGTTATGTATTACTGTTAAGCCCATTTCACAGATAAAGAGATGGAGGTGGCTCAGTGATGTGAGTTACTTGTATAAAGTCACACAGCACATTAGTGGCTTCACAGGTTATGTTCTTTCTCTAAAGTCAAGCTGCTTGAATTAAGAAGCACCAAAAAGATGGAGGAGAGTTTTTATGGAGCGGAAAAAGGGGCAGTGATATTTATGACGTTTCTTCCTTAAACTTGTGTTGTGGTTACAGCTTCTGCTGTCTGTTCTAAGTGGGGTTCTTCTGAGTGGCTTTCCCAAGTACCATTGGCCTGGTGGCCTGGGGCAGCTGTCAGAGACTCCTGGGTCCCACTGTAGGGGGAGAGGCCTTTATTACCTAATGGATGCAGCCCTGCCCATAGCCCAGCATAGAGGACCCAGCATATACACTGTGTAACTATGGGAAGCCCCTTCCTCGGGCCACCTCCTGTGGGGGCCTGTGTCACTAGGCTTCCCTGGCTTTGCCTGAGGACCCCCTGCGAGGCGGGGGCGGGGGAGATTCCAGGACTCCCAAGGCCATACTCACTCCAGGGATGAATCATAATGTGCAGTTTCGAAGCCTGCACTGTTTATCACCCCCTGGGAAGTGGTGGCATGGGTGTCTTGCCCTTTCACCCCCGCATGCTCATGACTAGAAGCAATGCGACTGGGGAAGGCCACCTCCTTCAGAGCAGTGTCGTAGGGACTGGATGCTTACTCCACGGGCAATGGTATGTTCAGACCACCATGGGCTCGTCACTGTACAGTGCCCCCCAAGGCCCTGCTCTCTTTCCTCCAGGAGCCCTTCCTCGGGGGCAGCGAATCTCACCCACCTCCAGAGGTGGTCAAAAGCTGTGCGGAGCTGCGGCTGGTGGAGAAGGTGGGTGGCATGGAGTTTACAAAGGAGGCCAGCCACATGAATTGGGGTTGGGAGGGGCTCACCTGCATTCTGAAGACAAGTCCCAAGGGGAATCCTGACTTCAATAATAATATTTTCAGAATAAGTATCTGGCCTCTCAAAGTGACTATTTTGAAAGAGAAAATACATATTTGAATGAGAAGAAAGGAAAATCAAGACAAGAAAATGGGAGTGGAAAGACAAAGTTTGGCTCAATATAAGGAAGGACCTGCTAACAGCACCCCAGCCAAACATGCAGGGCTGCTTTGGGGACCGCGGGCTTCCCCTGCTGGAAATATGTGAACAGGGACAGTGCATCACGTGAAGGTACTAGGGAGGGGTGCTCCGCACAAGTGTGCTGCGGTGTGTTGGGGTGGGGGAGGACTAAGTAACCATTGACTCATTTTCCAACCCTGAGAGTCCATAATATGTTTGTTCAAAATGACCTTCTTTCAATGATACTTCAAATTCTTGGGGAAAGGATTACAAAAGTCAGGTAACAGGTCATATTCTGAAGTGCCTTTCACTGCACTAGCTCCAGATACTTTCATATCTTTGCAGGGACAGCAGCTCATATGAAGCCAGAAATCCTGAAATGCCTAGATTTGGCTCAGTGAAGAGAGATACCCCACCTTCTGAACCCTGCCTGGATGCTCACTCCTCTAGGCCACGAGACAGTTCACAGCTCTACCCCTGCAGTACTAAGCCACAGCTCTGAGATCACATTGCGCTTCCAAGCCAGCCAGATGTGGTTGCCTCTGGGCAAACAAGTCCAAGGGGCTGGCTGTATCCTAGGGATGAGGAGCAGGCAGGATGGGAATCTGGTTATGTCAGATCCTGGGAAACCAAAGGGAGCCTTTTGTTCTTACCCCATCCTCTCCAAGGGCTCTTTTTAAAGACAGCTAAGTGAGATGCTGCCTAGTGGTACAGAGAGAGCTGGGGTCCATGAAAAAATTGCTATTCCTTTGTCCAGTCAGAAAGCCCTCCTGCAGCCTCCTTTAGGACACATCGGCAGACTATTCACTTGCCGTAAAACACTGCCCATCTCCAGCTCCAAATGGCCAGGAAAAGGTAGCTCTGTTGAGAGGACACGTGGATTCCTACAGGTGCACTGCATCATGGGGGGAATCAAGTCCTGCTTGTGATTAATACAGATTAGTAGTGTGCCTGGCTTCAGACCACCAGTGAGACACTCCCCAGGACCCTGGCTCATGTGAGGCTCCTTGGGAGTCCCCCTTCCAGTGTTGCTGGGGTCCTTTTACCTGTACCGTATTAACCGAATAATCTTATTGTTCATGAAGTCCACAGCATGTGGGTGAGAAGAATCGATGCAGAAGCCATCACTCAGAGCAATTTTTAGCACCTCCTCCACAAAGACCTGGAAGCTGTTGATCTGCTTGTTGGATGGCACCACCCAGAGCCTCTTGAGGTTCTGCTTAGTATATTCCTCCTCTGGCAGGCCTTCCACATTGGCCACCCAGTCCAGAGTCAGGTGGTTGGGGTCCAGCAGGTGGCTGGTGATGGAGGAGAGATTGCCATTGGAGCAGTAGAAGAGCCTGGAGCCAAGGAGCTTGAGGAAGAGGCAAGAGGTGCTAAAGATGTTGGCGTTGAAGACCTCCATGCTGGAGGAGGAAAGGCTGTAGATTTGGGGTGCCTCGCGCACAGTGAAGTGGACCGTCTGCACATGCTGGTTCAGTGTGATGTTGAGCATGGCATTCTTCTCGGCCTTGGAGAGCTCCACCTCCTTCTCCTGCAGTGCCTCAATGAGAGGCTGCACCTGGTAGAAGTCGGCTTCCCTGCGGAGCAGGCCCATCTCCTGGAAGTCCTCAGGCAAGTCCAGGTGGGAGGTCCGCAGGAAGTTGAGGATGTAGCGGAACACTTTGCCGTCACGATCAATGAAACAGTGGCCCTGGCTGTCCCTCTTGGTGGGCATCTTCCCGCTGAACATGGCACCCAGCATGGAGTCAGGGAAGCTGGTCAAGGTTGCCAGTGAGGTTGTGTAGAGCTTCCCTCCGACGTTTAGCGTGATGGGGTCAGACATGGCAGGAGACTGCAGTGCTGGCAAGGAGTCCTAGAGAGGAAGACAAGGGAGAAATGTCCGTTACTCAACCATAACTGGTGTCTTAGTCTGTTGGGGCTGGCATAACAGAATACCACGGACTGGGTGGCTTAAGTAACAATTATTTCTCATAGTTCTGGAGGCTGGTAAGTCCAAGAGCATGGTGTGGGCAGACTTGGTGTCTGGTAAGGGCCATCTTCTCACTGTCCTCATGTGGCAGGAGGGGCAAGAAAGCTCTCTGGAATCTCTTATATAAGAGCAATAATTCCATTCCAGGGGCCTCCACCTTCATGACCTAATCAACTCCCAAAGGCCCCGCCTCCTTATACCATCATGTTGGATTTCAACAAATGAATTCGGGGGACAAAAAATTCAGTCCATAATATCTGGGCAGTCATAGTTCTCATCTCCTTAATATAGATCAATGAGTGTTGAAATAAGTTAGTACTTGATGAACAAGTGGGTGGGTGATAATTTCCAAACTGTCTAGAGCATGTAAGGTTTACTAGGAATTAAAAAAAAAACAAAACAAAGTCTAGTCTCCACCTTCAGAGATTGTTTTAATTGGTCTGGAATCAGTGGTGCAAAATGTACCTGGACTGAATGCTGTTACTACCTGCTCTTACAAACATTTGCTTATATAACAGCCATACATCTTTTGACATAGACCAGACCACCATCCATCCCTATTGTGCAGATAAGGCCAAGAGTGCCAGGGTTCAGTCCCCATGCTCAGAGAGGTGAAGGGCCATGCCACGATTCAAACCCAGGTCCCCTTTCTATGAGAGAATTGTGTAAGTACTTACTAGCCAAACTGGTACACGCTAAGTACTTAACCAATGCTGAGATTTGATTCCAAACCCACTGCTCCTTCTGCTGTACCACTGTCGCCTTATTTATTTCTCTGTCTCAGATAATGTACAATGATGAATGGCTGTGATTGGTGTCCTTTCCAGCCATCTCTCAGGTCCACAACAGTTCACTCAGCCCTCTGGACTCCAAACGACACCCTCTGCTGGGCTCTCATGCTCCCGTGTCAACTTGCCTTGCTGTGAAGGTGCTTTTGGCTCCCAGTGGTCTGCTCTTCCCACCGTGGCTCCCCAGCCTCCTCTGAAACTCTGAGTTCAGTGCACATGTGAGACTGCCATCAAGCACCCTTTCCAAGGGCTCTTTACCCACTTCTCAACAAACTCCGCCGGCCCTGACTGATGGCACTGCCTCCAGAGTCTAGGGCTGGTCAGTCTACTTCAGCAGAGTCTTGGAGTCTAACTTCTCTTTAAGTTTCTAGAGAGCAGGGTATGTGCCCTCTTGGTTTCCAATATGATACTTCCCCAAGAGCCAACCTGTGGAACCAGTGGTGTTTCCCTGATGCTGGGTGTGGTGGGCACAGACGAGAACTGGCCCCAGTGCTGCCCTTGAGAAGAGCCCAGGTCAGCAGGGAAACCAAGACAAGATGTAGTGAGGCTGCAGGGACAAGGAAGATGTGCCAAGAGCTGTGGGAGTAGGTTGGGAATGGATCCTGGTGTCCAGATGGGAAAACAGAGGCCTAAGGAGGGACTTCCTCAAAGTCACCCAGCAAGGGCGGCGAGCAGGCCAGAGCACTTCTCACCACATGTCTGTCTTCTGAGGAGGCTGTCTGCATGGAGACCGCCCCCTGAGGATGGAGGCCATGTCGGGTACATAGAAATGTTCAGCTACCCAACTGTCTAGGGGTTGGGTGCCCTTGCGATTCTTCCCTGTCTGATGGGGCACTCTGATATCGCAGGAAGGCATTGACCATCTGGAGTGTCTGAAGAGAAACAAGCCCAGGATGAAGTCAAGAGAGCAGCAGAAGCCTGGAGCACATGGGCCATGAGGCACCCAAGACGGGCGGGGTGAGGGCCCAAGGGAGAGGCGGCTGCTGTGCAGAGACCCGCAGCTGGGGAGGGGGCCCGGCCTGGGTGCTGAACCTGGCCAGTTCTCCAGAGGGCTCAGGCGGGGGCTGGACCCACAAGTGAGCCATCTCCTTCCTCAGTCCACATGGGGTGGGGGCAGGGAGGAAAGCGGATTCACGAGAGTGGTGGAGGGTTTGTGGGGATGCACTGTCGTCACTGAGCTACAGCACCCCCCTGGTGTGTACCCAGCTGCCTCCAGGACATCTCCACCTGTCCCTCCTGCAGATACCAGAAGGCTAACAGAATTCTTCTTGCCCCAAACCTGCTGTGAACTCTTCTCAGTCATCCAACTGCCTGAGCCTAGGAGGCAGGAGGAAGCCCTGACTCATTCCTAAAATTTTTCTCCACTCTGTCTCCATGAACCCATCCCTATAGCTACTCCCAGAGCTCTGATCTCATTTCCACTCCCCTATATCCTCACTTGGCTCCCTGCCTTCTTTCTGTCCGTCTACCATATCAGACTGCAGACTGCTCTTCCTGCAGCGCTACTGCCTGCTCAAACCACCTTGCTCTTCCAATCTCACCTCCAACCCTGCCCCTCACCGCCATCTCTGCTCTGGCACTCTGCAGACCACTGCACCCACCCTCACACTGTCATCTGCCCTGTCTGTGCTCTCCTTACACCATCCTCCACCTTCTATGCTGGCAACCTTTTAGACCCTCCTGAGTCACTGCCTCTGTAAGACTCCCCAGATCACCCCTACATTAACAGCTCTCCTCTTAGGGCTTCCCTGTCCCTTGCAAGCCCTCTCTGGTAATGCCCACCATTCTATTACATCATGATCTGCTTTTCACATGGCCCTCCTCCCCAGCTTTATCAAGGTACAGACTGCTGGGCATCCAAATGCAACACAAGAACCCTGGCCCCCATCTTGTACCACAGATGAATAGATCATAGACCTAAATGTAAAATCTTTTTAAAACTATAAAACTTACAGGAGAAAATCTTTGTGACTGGTTTATGCCAAGAGTTCTTGGATAGGACACAAACAGCACAAACCATAAGAAAAATGGAGAAACTAGACTTGATCCAAATGAAACTTCTCTTCTAAAGACACTGTTCAGAAAATGAAAATAAAACACAGACTGGGAGAAAGCATTTGTGAAACACATCTATGATAACGGGTTGTTAATCAGACTATATAAAGAACACTACAACTCAGAAGAAAACAGACAACCCAATCAAAAAATGAGCAAAAGATCTGAACATTTACCAAAGAAGATACATAGATGACAATCACAGGAAAACATGCTCAACTCAAAATGAAAATTAAAACCACATTAGGTACCACTGCATACCTATTAAAATTGCTAAAACAAAGAATCTGACAAAGCAGATGCTGGTGAGTACACAGAAATATGGAAACTCTCATACACCACTGGTGAGACTGCAAGATGGTACACCCACTGTGGAGATAGTTTGGCAGTTTCCACATGACCCAGCAGTCCCATTCTGAGTTATTTATCCCAGAGAAATGAGGACATATGTCCATATAAAATCCTGTGTGTGAATGATTATAGCAGCTTTATTCATAATTGTCCATACCTGGAAACAATTAAAATGTGATAAATATATAAATTGTCCATCCATACGATGAAACATGACAGGGCAATATAAAGGAAGTAGCTACTGACACATATCACTACATTAGAAGAATCTCTAAAACATTATTGGTAAATGAAAGAAACCAGCCTCAAAAGGTCATATAGTATATGGTTCTATTTATGTAACACCCTGGAAAAGGTCAAACTTTAGAGACAGAAATCAGATCAGTGATTGGGAGGGGCTGGGTTCTGGAGAAGAATGGTTATAGAGGCATAAGGGAATATTCTGGAGTGATAGAAATAGTTCTTGTCTCAATGTAGTAGTGGTCAAATGACTAAAGGTTGTAAAAATTCATATAAATATATACCTAAATGGCGAACTTTACTGTATGTAAATAATATCTTCATAAACTGAAAAAAAATTAAGATTGTGATTGTGTCATGAAATTAATACAGTGGATTGTGACAAGTTATGTATATCATTGTGAACCCTTTGTTTCAGGGGTGTGTGTGTGTAAGAACTGGATCATGATATAAAGTGTATTTCACACTGTGGGATGTGTTAAAAATTGTTTTTGAAAATCACTACCTAGTATGTGATCTTGAGGGTAATGACATGTCTCACATCCCTGTGTATTTGCTGACTACCCAGTGCATGCTGGTGGCACTGCAGTGGGGGGAAGCAGGACAGCAGGGGGGCGCTGAGAGGGAAGCAATGAACATACTGAGCATTTTACTACATGCAAGACTTTTACACTCATCGACCCCTTTAATTCTCATAGCAGTCCTACAAAGTAGGCATTATTCTCCCTGTTTGGCAGACAGGAAACAGACTCAGAGGGACTATTAACTTGCTCAGGACACACAGCCAGCAAGCGGAGAGCCCATTCTCTTCCCACTGCACAGGCTGCTAAGAGTTGTAATAGCAACAAAAGGCAGCTTCAACAAGTTTGAGAATCCTTGATGCAGCCTTTTAAAACATCACTCTGTAGCTTACTTGGCAATAGCTGCCACTTGATGAGCACACCTACTTTTACAGTGTGAAGAGCTTCCCATAAGACTTGGTGGCATTGTATTTATTTTTAATAAAAACATATAGAAAAGTACAGGAAATGGTACTATTGTGCTAAATGCTTTACATGTATTCCCTCATTCAGTGTCTTCACAGGCACCATGTAAGACAGACACTATTGTTATGTTCATCTTACAGATAAGGAAACTGGTCGAGAAGGGTTAAGAGTCAGTGGAGCAGCTGGGATCCAAATCTAGGTAGACGAGAGTCCACCACCTCTGATCATCATCCCTTCCCATCATGGGGCCCCAATGTGAACGATGCAGACTCCCTCATTCTCTGTCCACACCAGACTTGGGTAGGGCCCTTTGGCAGCTAGTCCATCATTGGCTTGGGGCTCTGCCGACTCACATCTGAGAACATGGGGACAGGATCCCAGGGTGACCCAGAGCCAACCCTTAGCTGACACAGGGTCAGTCATCTAAGAGGCCCACACCCTTTGTTTCAGCGGTGACTCGCAA